CAACAAGTGTTTTTTTCTCTTCTAACACCCTAGAATAGAACATCTTATCCTAATTTTATCAAAATTCAATTTCAAACCAATTCTATGAGGCTGTACTGTGTGATTTCCCTGTGCCACACTGTCCTGGAAAGAGTAGACGGCAGGCTGCCAGACACACACAGTCACCCGTCTCCTGGGTCTTGGTTGGTTGGCCAGGATGGCCACTGTGAGCACGATGAGAAATGCCAAAGGGAAGAGTAAGGTCAGAACTGCTGTGGGCAATGAACAGGTTGTGCAGTTCCCAAAGACACTACATCTGAGGAGGCACCACCCACACCTCAGATTTTGTTGATTTGTATGGACAATTTTCTGACAGATGGCACCAAAGTACCCTGGCCTAATAAAATCAATGTATTGCAATAATTTGCAGACAAAACTAAAGTATCAGGAGAAAGGCTGCCCCCCCCTTTTTTTAACTTTGTTGGGGAACAGTGTGTTTTTTTCTCAGGACCCACCCGCTCCAAGTCAAGTTGTTGTCCTTCAATCTTAGTTATGGAGGGCGCAAGCTCAGCTCCAAGTCCAGTCGCCATTTTCAATCTAGTTGCAGGGGGCGCAGCCCACCATCCCATGTGGGAGTCGAATCAGCAACCTTGTTGTTAAGAGCACATGCTCTAATCAACTGAGGCACCCGGCTGCCGAAGGCTGCCTTTTTTTCAAAATTCACAAAAAGGCACCACATGGATAAGAGAAGGGCCCGCCCTAGGGTGTTAAGGGAGCAAAGAATAAGCCTGATTTAGTCTAGAAGACAAGAAAGGTCTACTGAGAAAGAGGGTTTAGCTGGGACAAGATTACAGAAGTTCAGAACTTTAGTACAAGTTCCACAGGATATCCAACTTATTTCTTCTTACTAGATTTCTGGTATAATAAATAGTTCTTCAGAAAACACATTCTTAAAAAAAAAAAAAAGGGAAACACATTCTTAAATTGCAGTTAGACCTGAAAGAAGTCTGCCATTCAGCCTCTCTTGAAGTTAATTAGCAAGTGAACAAAAGTACTATAAAGCCAGGGCAAGAAGACAGAAAGTTGCACACACATCTTAAACTGTTACGCTTTTCCTGTGACAAACTTCTGTTTTTTAAATGTTTTTTTTTTGTTGTTGTTGTTGGTAGGTATTTCCCAACATGTTTTGGTAGGGATTGTGTGGAGGAGTCAAAGGGTCATTACTACTTAATGGCTGAACAAATGAGCTGTGAGGATCCTACTTTACAGCTCCCCGAAAAGTAACCATCACATAGATAAGAACAATAAAAAGCATTTCTCAAATTGGTTCATCCATTTTAGAAAATTTAACCTTCAACCATCTTTGGGGGCATCTTTGACACAGTTGGTGTTGTCACTGTGTCAAACACTGTACTACATATCCAACACTGTTCTTAGGTGTCTGTGTGTACTCAGTTCTTCCCTAGGACAACTTCTGAGGTGAGAACTATTTTTATCCCCATTTTACAGATGAGAAAACTGAGGCATAAACCAGTTTAAACAGCTTGCCTGAGGCCACAGAGCTTTCCAGCAACAGAACTGCGATCTGTATTCTAGCAGCGTGGCCCCAGAGCTTGTGTTCTTGACCATTCCATTACCCTGGCTTATTGGGTCAAGTATCCAGCCTAGATTCTAGACAACACTGAAAATCCATTCATTAAGCTTTCTTAACTAATGGAAACACAAACACAAGTCAACATCTAGAATTAACCACACTGCCAGTATAACCAGCATTTTAGGCATGATACGCGTTTGGAACTATTCTTCACTGACAGAGACCTTCAGTGAGGAAAGTAGGGTAAAAGCACAAGGTGACACAAGGATACAAGAGCTCTGACACTCTCTCTCAAAGAGCTAGACCCAGGCCTGGACACTCAGATCCACCTATGCACCAGGATTAGTCCCCATTACCCAACCCCCACTCCCAGGCACACGCGAGTTCTCTATCCTGGCTGAGTGTGACTGCGTGTGAGCACTGCCTTTAGAATACCCTAAAGGATTTTCTGCAGAACTGTTGTTTCTCGAGATGCTTCATAATAAAGCATCTTGTGGTCAATCGGTTAGGGAAACTTGGCCTCCTGCCTCCACCTTGGAAAGACGGACAGTATGAATGGACCTATCCCAGGGCCTCAAGAAGCCCTAATGACACCTGTGTAACTTTTAAAGTCTAATATTTCAGAAACTTGTTTGATTATGGAATCCCTTGTTTTTTAGGACACCTATGAAAGCACTGTAAAACTAGTGCTTGAGAAATGCTGCCTCAAGGTAGCACATCAGCGAGGAACACTAGGACACACAGAGAGAGGGAAGAAAAGGATAAAAAAGAAGATGGTTTGAAGCAGGAACATGGGGAGAGTGCAAATTAAAATATCCATAATGCTTACTATAGTACTTCTCACATACTAGTCCTTAAAAATACCTGCTCAACTGCTATGTACAAAAGAGAGCGGGAATTTTGATTCTGTGAGACAAACCACACAGCTGACATATGAGCAGTCTTGTGTGTAGAAGACTAGCACCCATGCTTATCCACACAGTATCCCCTTATTTCTGGAAAAGAAAAAAACAGCACCGTGTGTCGGTATGAACCAGGCCACTTAAGGTGAAGGAGAAAGAAAGAAAGTAACCTTCACTTGGACTTAAGAGCTAAACTTTCTAAAGTGTTCTAGATTTTAATTCTTTTTTTTTTCATTTGAAAAGCAACTAAAGAGAAGAAAGTCCAGAAAAGAATATGCAATCTCCATGCAACATTGCAACAAATATATATATTTTTTAATTAAAAGGGAGGTTTGATTTCTTTCTTGAAGCTCCCCAAAAATAATGGGGGGTGGGGGGTGGAATTCCTAGCATAGGAATGTGTGGACACTCTTCTGCCTCATCCATAGACACAACCATAAGATACACATGTTTTAAGAAATACCTTCCCCTTTGCTTCAAGTTCTTTCGAGTTTCTAGAATCTCTATAAAGAGTCTCAGGATGGTAGGAGATTTCTGGGGAAAATTCTCAATTACCAGCAGTCCCTAACCCACCCATGACACTTCACGATAACCAAAACTCAGCTCAGAAGTGCTGTGGAAATATTATTTATGAGCATTATTGTTTGGTAAGATTGTAAAGAAGGAAATGATTTGTGTTTGAGGCTATAATTTAGGTCTTTGAATCATTTTAAATGGCCACAAAGGGAAGTTGCTAAAAATGTTCTAAAATTAATTGGGGCTAAGATCACACAAAGAAAAAGGATGTGCAGCATTAAAGAAAGCCCATCTGTCAAGGCAGTGGGCTTAAAGTCTGAGGTGGGTAGCCCCACAGAGGAATTGGGGAGGATACGTCGCTTTCTAAGGGAGAAGGTGGGAAAATTTAAGCTTCCCGATATTAATGAGAGCTTTGAGCAAGTCTTGCCAACATGAGCAGTTTCACAGGCACCTTCGCTTAAGGTCTAAGAAGGGTAGCAAGGCTGGTCCTAGATTTCTGACAACTTGTGAATTCTCAATTCAGGTCCCAAGACGCCTGGCTATATGTATTGCAGTTCTGTAAAATCTCTGATCTTTACAATAAATCCAGGCACATGCCCCTTTCTTTAAGCCGGTTAGAGCAGCTCTCCTTTTCTTGTTCCCAGAAGAAGGATTTCCCAGGACTCGGAGTCTCCAAATAAATGGAGAATTTCAATACACTGTGGTGCATTCAACTCTCCCCCTGGGTAACTATGTGATGTGCCTGGATACTTGACTGTCTTTGGCTATTTCATGGAAACTGAGCATAATGCAGAATAAGAAACAAAACTAAAGACCAGCTCTAAAAAACACAGTCATTATGAAGCATAATATAACATTTTCAGAACAACTGGGGCCTTTAGAGCTCCCAAGTTGACAATATAACTAGATCTTTTGTTTGTTATTGTCCAGATTTTGAAAATAAAATAAAATCTAGAATGTCTACATACATAGTATGTGTAGTAAATAGAAGATAAGATATACCCAAATTGCTCACTTAATCAAAATGTTAAAAATGGTAAATGATTACATACATAAACTGTGTGCCTATTCATAGCAACAGTCTGGTGATTTTAACTGAACAATTTCTAGAAAGCTAAAAAAGTGTTCTTTGCTAAATAGTCTATCATATTTCATGAATGTATTTTAAATATTTTAAATGATTAAGAAGGGGAAACTATTTGCAAAACAAAATGAAATTCTCTTCGAATATACATTATTTCAGTTTAAACTACGCATTCTTTAAAAAGACCATACAACTTTTGTGAGAAATACTAAAATTGAGATATGTAATGCTTGATCTAGTTGTTACCAGACAATAACCATCAACTTGTTTATTTCAATGAAGTTTCCAAATTCACAGAAATTTAGAATCATGCTGTTTCCATAGCAGCAAAAAAAGGGTAAAACGAAAAAGATCTTGCTCTGTTTTTTAGTCTTTAGCAACATCTCATATTCTCTTTTCTAAATGTATTTAGTAAATCATATACATTTTGAAAGTAGGATAATTGTGACATTACTGTAAAGTTACACATTCTTATATTAATGTAGAAGAACCAATGTTTAATTCTTAATGTAAAAGGGATGCTAACTGATGGAGTTAACATCAAGCATCAAAGAATCTAAGTCATGTAATGTCAGTTTAACATATGAATAAAATACATTGTATTACAAATGTTTTTAGATAATTCATTAATTAATGACCAAAAAAACCACTTTACTGTTACTGTGTATTTATTAAAACTCGACTGGGATTTAGGGTTTTAAACATTAAGTGTTGTAGCTACAAAATGCAAGTTTCTTCATGGTTAATGTGACAGCATGACAGTGAATAACTGAAATTAGTAGCTTAATTGTTGCAAATTAACATGCTAAGAAAACAGAAGCTAGACTTTCTTTTTTTGTGCACGTGTTGTTTAAGCTGGATGTTTTCACCAACTATTTTGATCTCTTAAAATTTCCATTTGTCAAAACATAGAAAAATGGCTCACCTGTAACAGACATACAGCCCAATGGAGCGATAAGAGTAATCGGGGCAAATCCGTAGGCTGCAAAGTTTCCTGTCTCTCCCATGGCCATCAGTACAATCCCACCCCACCACAACACACTCTTGAAGAATGGCTTTGGGTATTCTTGGTGCGCCAACTGAAGATGAGAATATTTCTAGAAGCAAATCAGAATTTAAATAAAATAATATTTCTACCCAATTAAAATCTGCTCTAAAATTTTTGGTCCTATAAATTTGCATCATGGCTTTTAAATTTATTTGTAGATTATGATAGAGCAATTATTATGGTTTTGTATTTGTTCCAAACATATTAACAGCAGAAGTGACTCACACTGATATAGCATTTTATAGTTTAAAGGTCCTTCTCACATACAAATGTTACTTAATTCTCATAACAACTCTGTAAAATAAGTATCATAATACTCTTTGAAGACGAGGTATATGTGAAGGAGTTAAGTGGCTTTTTAGTTCACTACACCAAACACTTATTTTAGAATATCTGAATATCAATGAACTAAAGATAATAAATTACTAAAGAAAAACCTTTTGACAAGGGATTCAAATTTATGAGTCAAAGTAGGTACCACAATAAACATAGCAGAGCAGAACGCTTTGGTAGCAGGGGTTGGGTTGGGGGGTAGAATCTTATTTATATCTGGTTTGAATATTTCTTTGTGTTTTAAACATAGATTCCTAAGAAAACTGGCCATTAAATAAAGTCCTATTTCCCTACTGATTTTATGAAAAGTGAACTTACTTCCTTATAAGAAGTATGTACAATTGCAAGTTACTTAAATATTTTTTTTAAGAAAATAATGTAAGTACTAGAAGAAAACACCAAACATTAAAAAAAAATCTTGGCTTATGCCAAGATTATGAACATTTTTTTAACTGTGGTACAAGTTCATAAGCCAGCTAGGCACCTTGCACAGGGCACACAGTACTATGAAGAGGCCCACAAAAACATGTCTTTTAAAATCAGAAGAAAAAAAAATGTAATCCAGCTGGATCATATTTGTCTTTATATTAATGAGGTTATAAAACATAATTTTTTATATTTTTGATGGAGGAAGGGGCCCAAGAAGGCAAAAGTGCTTGAGGCCCATTAAAGTTGTGATGTGTTAGAAAAATAAGCTTCTTACCTGAATATTTAGGGAAATGCTGATTACCAAGTTTCCTAAAATGGCCAGCAAAACTCCAAAAAGGTGTATCTGAAAAAATAAAGCGTTTTCTTTAAATGATACTTTAAATGGTACTTGTAAGATATTTACTGGGAAAAAACCCCAACAACCCCAAAACAACAAAAAATTTAAGTTGATACATTCATTCATTTGTTCATTCATTCAGCAAATATTTACTAGCACCTATCTGCAAGGGTTGTTTGGAATTTGAATAATGATCTTATTGGGATTAGTTTTTAATTTTATTCATTTACTGTTTTTAAGAACTCGCTCAGTCCCTTACTGAATCTCTAGATATTTGCATCATTAATGAAAACAAATAGTCATCAGGTTCTGACTTTTTCCCATTAAGATGCTTCTTATTTATCTTTTCTGTTCATTTTCTTCAGTAATGCCTCTGATTGGGCTGTTCACTGCCTCATGTATGGACTATATAATTTTTCCCTATCTGGTCTCCCTCTTTCCTTTCTCATAAAATATTCTGGAGAACTGTGGTTTGTATGGCCTTGGAGTTAAAGGGTGAATCTGAAACCAGATCTGCTATTTTCTAATGGGTGACCTTGAGGAAGTGATTTTAGCTCCCTCGACTCAGTAAACAAGGGATGCCGGACAAGATGTTTCCAGAAATCCCTTTACCTCTAAAATTCTATGATCTCCACTGGAGACAGATTCAATTTTCCCACCACTCCCCTAGTCAATCAAGAACTCACAATGTCTCTCTACAGTCAACTACACCAAACATAAAATGACCATACCAGCTCCCCATAGTCTGTCCTCAGCCTGACCATCCAATTGTCCATGACACACTTAATGTGCTCTTTTTACCTCTGGTAGCCCGCACCTAACGTTCTCTAGTCAGACATCATTCTTTGCTCATGTCTCTCCTCTCACCTAGACAGAGCAACATCTTCCCTCAGCTGATTCCAGCCCTCCTGGCCTCCTGGGGTCTTCCTCCTTGAGACCTTATCGGATCAACACAGCCCATCTTCGTTTTCTCAGACTCTTAAATAATGTACATTCCTTACTTCTTCTTTTATATTGTCACATGTATCATTAGGCTCTATAACTAGATGGCAAATTCTCTGAGGGAAGAGAACTTTGTCTTAGGCTTCTGTTGGGTCTTCAACATCATCTACTACACAAAATTAGGGGCTTGAAAAATACTTGCTTGAAAAAGTATAATGGTCTAAAACTAAAATTATGCAAGTTAAAAAATAAGTTCTTACATATTGTTCAAGATGTATACTATGTATCCTGCATCTATTATTTGATGACTTAAAAAGTTACATTAGCAGCTCCTATCTAAATACAAAGGAATAATGTCTTCTAGCATTATAAGTTAGCAATAATATAAGGGATCTTCTTCCCTCTTCTTCTATAGTACATAACTTCTAGCTAGCTTCAAATTCCAAACAGCTATTTGAATTTCAAATGAACATTGCAACCACAAGGAACCCTTTTCAGAATGCAAAATGTCTTTGAAGTTTTAGAACTTTACTATACGTGCTGAAGTGAAATTCAGTATTTTTAACAAATGAAGCAGAGAAGTTGAAAACCAATTTAATAGTTGATATATAATATCCATAGTCTTTAATCAGTTAAGAATTTTCCTTTCCTAATAAAGGCACTTGGCAATAATTTTGATCACTATTCCTCATGGGGAACAATTGTATCATAATACAATGTGCTATTTCCATGTTTTTGATTTACAATTAAATGCATTTGGCAGTAATCAGGAAAATAAAGATTCAGAAGAAGCTTGGGATTAAATGGATAATTATGAAAATATTCCATAATTACAAAAGTAAATTGTTAAATAAAAATAAGTGACTTCAAAATTCTTTAAATCATTCAATGGGTAGTTTAAATACAACCAGGCCAAGTGTTTAGAAATTTGTAGCAGGATTTGGCAATGATTTTTTGGATATAACACCAAGAGTACAGGTAACAAAAGAAAAAAATAGGTAAGCTGGACTTTATCAAGATTAAAATCTTTTCTGCATCAAGGGACACTATTAAGAGAGTGAAAAGGCAACCCACACAATGGGAGAAAATATTTACAAATCATATATCTGATAAAAGATTGATATCCAGAATATATAAAGAACTCCTACAACTCAACAAGGAAACAACCCAATTAAAAAAATGGGCAAAGAACTTGAATGCTTGAATAGACATTTCTCCACAGAAAATATACTAATGTTCGTTAGGTACATGAAAAGATGCTCAGCATCACTAATCATTAGGGAAATGCAAATCAAAACCACAATTAGCTATCATTTCATACCCACTAGGATGGCTACAATTAAAAAAACAAAACAAAATAATAAATATTGGTAAGGATGTGGAAAAATTGAAACCCTGTGCCTTGCTGGTGGGATGTAAACTGGTACAGCTGCTGTCCTCAGACCATGTACAAAAATTATCTCAAAATCAATCAAAGACCTAAATGTAAGATCCAAAACTATAAAATTCTCAGAACAAAACATAGGAGTAAATCTTCATGACTTTGAATTTGGCCATGGAATCTTATAGATAAGACATCAAAAACGTAAGCGACAGGGTCTGGCCAGTGGCTCAGTTGGTTAAGAGAGCAAGCTCTGAGCAACAGGGTCACTAGTTTGATTCCCACATGGGCCAGTGAGCTGCGCCTGAGCTGAGTTGCCGCTGAGCTGGTTGAGAGTGCATGCTCTTAGCAGCAAGTTGCCAGTTCAACTCCTGCATGGGATGGTGGGCTGCACCCCCCCCCCAACTAAGATTGAACACGGCACCTTGAGCTGAGCATCTGCGAGCAGGAGCTGCCAATGGGTAGCCGGATGGCTCAGTGTGCAACAAGGTTCGACTCCCGCATGGGATGGTGGACTACGCCCCCCCCCCCCCCCCGCAACTAGATTGAAAGCGGCGACTGGACTTAGAGCTGAGCTTGCACCCTCCACAACTAAGATTGAAGGACAGCAACCTGACTTGGAGCTGACTTGGGTCCTGGAAAAACAATATTCCCCTTCCCCAATTCCCCAACACTGTTCCCCTCCCCATTCCCCAATAAAAATCTTAAAAACAAACAAACCAAAAAACCATAAGCAACAAAAGAAAAAAATAATTAGACCTCATCAATATTAAAAACTTTGTCAAAGGACACTATCTAAAAGGGAAAAGACAACCCATAAAATGCAGAAAATATTTGGATACCATACAGCTAATAGGGGACTTGTATTTGGAATATATATAAAAAACTTACAATTCAATAATAATAAGACAACCCAATTAAAAATGGGCAAAGGATCTGAACAGACATTTCTCCAAAGAAGAAAAATGGCTAACAAGCATGTGAAAACATGTTGAAGATCGTTACTCATCAGGGAACGCAAATCCAAAACCACAGTGATATACCACTTCGTACCAAATAAGATGGTTGTAATAAAAATTCAGATAATAACAAGTGTTAGCAAGGATGTAGATAAATTGGAACCCTCATACACTGCTGATGGAAATATAAAATGGTGCAACCACCTTAGAAAACAGTCTGGCAGTTCCTCAAAAAGTCGACTTTCCATTTGCCTCAGCAACTCTACTCCTAGGTATGTATCCATGAGAAATAAAAACATATGTCCATATAAAACTTTGTACACAAAATGTCCTTAGCAGTATTATTCATAATAGCCCAAAGTAGAAATGACTCAACTGTCCATCAACTAATGAATAAATATAAAGTAGGACATTCATACATTCAATCATAAAAAGGAATGAAGCACTAATATATGCTACAACATGGGTGAGCCTTGAAAATTTTATGCCAAGTGAAAGAATCTAGTCACAAAAGACCATGTTATATGATTCCATTTATGTGAAAGGTCCAGAACAGGCAAATCTATAGAGAAAGCAGATTAGTGGTTGCTTAGGGCTGTGAAGGATGAGGGGTTTGGGGATAATAGTTAAAGGGTGGTGGGTTTCTTTTTGAGGTAATAAAAAAGTTTGAAAATTGTGGTGATGGTTGCAGAACTCTGTGAATGTACTAAACACCAGTGAATTGTACACTTTAAATGAGGAATTGTATGGTATGTGAATTATATTTTAATAAAGTTGCTACAAAACAATAAAGTACTTTAAAAAACACAAAGCATTTACATCTTTTGCTTTTTTGCCCAGAGAAATAAATGCTACAAATGTAGCTAGCTCTATTTTAGTCTCTTTTCCCTCCCAGTGATAAGTAACTTTTTTCTGAAGTTGATATAATTCTTTCCTTCCCAGATTTATTTTTA